AAGTGTTATGAAATTAGTGAAACATTAACATATTACGTTCCTTTTTTTTTAGGGGTCATTTTCTTGTATTCCAGAGAAACTCATGAGAAAAATTTGAAAAAAAAAAGAAAAGAAAAGAAAAGAAAGAAAACTCTAGGAGCCCAGAATGTGGGTCAAGAAATATACTCAGAAAATAAATGGGTGGCTGAGATTTGAATCTCAACTATAAAGTTCATTAACGAAAAGATAAATGGTAAAATATCTTACAAAAATCTATTATATATAATGAGAAGTGTTATGAAATTAGTGAAACATTAACATATTACGTTCCTTTTTTTTTAGGGGTCATTTTCTTGTATTCCAGAGAAACTCATGAGAAAAATTTGAAAAAAAAAAAGAAAAGAAAAGAAAAGAAAGAAAACTCTAGGAGCCCAGAATGTGGGTCAAGAAATATACTCAGAAAATAATGGGTGGCTGAGATTTGAATCTCAACTATAAATTGATAATTTTAGGTTTAATTTTAAATACAAATAATTTTAGATTTTTAGTATAACTGTGTATGTGTATATATATATATATATAGGTCTATATGAAACCCTATTAGCAATGCAAAAATGGAGTTGTGTTCTAAGTACTTTAATGGTAGACAGTGACACACATTGCTATCTTCATTATTTTCTCTTTGGCTTCTTCCTATTAAGTGCTCGTTTGGCATGTGGGTTTGAATGAGATTGAGACTATTTTAGTTATCAAAAATATAAAATAAATTTTTTAGCTCAATAAGATAAAATGTCACATTTAAATCATAATTATTATTTTTTTTTTTACAAAAGTCAAAAAGTCTATCCCGATATGAAACTTTTTAATCCTAAGTTAAAATAGTCAAAATATAAAAACATTTTTAAAATAGTCAATCAATATCCCAAACGAACCGATCAAATCCACTTTATGGGAAGGGAGGAAGAGAGAGATAAGGCTAAACACGAATGAATTCAGTATTATCACTATGAGAACGCGAAAATGTGTAAAGGTGTAAATTCTTATAATATTAAATTCTTTAGTATAATATATGATATTTTAGAAGTGCAGGCCTCATGTGCCCTCCCCTAGATCTATAAGATTTTAATATGTTATTATAGTATTAAATTGAAAAAGTGTCAAATCAATAATATTTACATAGTATAATTATAAATCAATGATAAACTTTATAAATATCAATAAGTAAAAATATACACATTTTTATGTATCTATAATGATTTCTTTGAAAAGTATGTTGAATCGTAATTTCTCCTATTAAATTGTGTCGTGTATGTACAGTACAATCCCTAATCGTAATTTCTCCTATTAAGGGGTTGTTTGGGATGATCTAAATAAGTATACTTTTTGACTTTTTATGAAATATGAATTGGATTTGGGTTAGGTTTGAAGTGATGTGTTAGAGAGATGATGTGACTTCAATAAAATGATGTGACTTAAATAAAATAATAATTTTTTGACTTTTTATTTTTTTTTAAGTATGTTAAACTTGACTTAAATTGTGTCGTGCGTGCATGTACAGTACAATCCCTAAAGGCAGAGTAAAATTTGGACGAACTCTGGTGCAGAGTGATGTAAGCAGATGGAGAGTGTTGGGTTTGCAATTGAATGGGCCTTGGATTTATTGAAGGATAGTGATGGTTATAGTGGACTCATTGGGGGTGTTTGGCAATTGTGTCGTGCGTGTATGTACAGTACAATCCCTAAAGGCAGAGTAAAATTTGGACGAACTCTGGTGCAGAGTGATGTAAGCAGATGGAGAGTGTTGGGTTAATTGAATGGGCCTTGGATTTATTGAAGGATAGTGATGGTTATAGTGGACTCATTGGGGGTGTTTGGCAAGAAAAAAAATAGCTCAGTTTAGGTTAAAATTTATAAATAAATAAAATAGGTTAAAATAGTTAATAAGATAAAATATTGTATAAAATTCATAATCATTTCACTTTTTCTCTCATAAACATTGCATTCAACTACAAAAAAATCTAATCATCTTTTTAAATACAAAAATTTTAACCTATTAAAATAGTCAAAAACTAAAATAGCTTATTAAAATAACAATTTCCCAAACGAAGCCATTATATATTAGATTTTTGTTTTTTACATAGTAATGACACGATTTGTTGAGAATTTTTAATTATTATTATATGACATCACATATTCACATGGGAGAAGGAATTGAAGAAAGTTGGTAATGGGGTAATGAAAGAATGGGCAAACGAGTCTTTAACCAACATAATAATGTGTTGAATTCGGGTGCTTTTATTTACGCATCACTTTTCATTTTAAGGCATATTTTTAATTAGTTTATTTTTTATTATAATATTAACTTAATGTAAAATGATCACAAAGAACAAAGGATTTTGATACACACCTTACGTAATACACACCAATTACTCATTGCACATTACACTCAATTTTGATTTTTTATTTTTCACTCAATACACACTATCAATTTTTAAATATTCTCAAAATATCCTCATCTTCTCCGGCCATAACCATAACCCTAACCCTAACTCTATCCCGCACCGGCATTCGCTGCCACCATCAACGGTTGCCATCAGCTATCCTACCTCTTTTGGCCACCGCTACCCTCCGACCGACACCATCCCCTCATCACTCCACCGTCGTCGCCGTCGCCTTCTCAACACAAATCTTAATGATCAAACATGGCCTAATTGGCTTATGGTTTTTATTTTGATATTTTTTTTAAAGTTGTTCTAGTGAGTATAACCAGGCTTGTATTTTTGTTAATTTTTAGTCTTGCTGTAAGAATGTTCTTTTGGTTGGTCTTGCTTTCTTGTTCTTGTGGATGGTCACAACTGTCTTCATGGTCACTTTTACTTTTTTATCAGCTTCTTGATCATTTATTTTCTTGTTTCTTTTACACTATCTTCGGATCTTTGATTGGTCAAGGGAATAGAAAATTAAGATAGAAATAAGTTAGTTAAAATATTCGTATTCATATTTCTTTTTTTCTTTTTCTTTTTTGGTTCTTTTTTTTTCTGTGGTAACCACCTAAATACAATGGATTTTTTGATAATTATTTTTTCTCTTTTTTCTTACCCAACTCAATGGAAGATTGAAGATTGTAGGTGGAGTGTGTGAGTGAGTAAAGGTAAAGATTGAAGATTGTGGGTGAGGTGTGTGAGTAAGGATAAAGATGGAAGATTGTGTATTGAGCAAATTTCTTATTTATTAAATTACTAAAGGTGTGCCTTGAGTATTGATGTGCCTTGAAATGAAGTGTAATATGTAAATAGAGGCACCCGTTGAATTCTCCATCCCTTTCCTCCATTAAGACGTGGAATATCTATCCTAACAATGTTAGGTACATAGAAATATATCAAGAAAAAAAAAATATTGTGTGATTTAAATTTATTTTACGTGTACGTCTTACAATATATAAGTTAAATCTCAACTACACAATATTTGTTTTAGTATTTATATGTACACAAATTTTGTACACATCTTTTCTATCCTTTCCATTGTCCCATATCTATATCTAATCATAAAAAAGTATGTTATATGTAAGCATATTTTTTTAATGGGAATAACGTATGAGGGTAGAAGATTAAATCAATTTACAAATTAGTGATAGTCTTTTTGGGTCTCTAGGCTTACATTAAAAATAGATTCTCTCCAATTTGTAGTTTTGTACTTCATTTTTCACTTATACATTATTCTCTTTTTTCTATAAATAAATTTGTTCTTACTATACATAAAATTAGTGATATCCGTATTAATAAATATATGTGAGATTCATTGTCTATATATATATATATATATATTAATATTAGAGGGTCATTGTTTTTTAAGCAGCTAGCATGGTGTTCAAAATTTTTATTTGGGTTTTCGTTAGGTGTCTAATTTTTTATGTGATTTGTTTCTCATTCAGATTTGATTGTGTTTCTCATTTATATTGCCTCAATTAAAATATGTCTCTTCACCCCTCTATATTTTGTGTGTGTTTTCATGCATACACCATGTTCGATAAAATGACTCAATTAAAATAGTTTATATAATTCTAAACTTATAAACACCATGCTCGCTGCTTATATAATTCTACTTGCGAACATATAATCTTTTGAAAATCCATCAAAACATTTTTTTTTCTTTTTCGGCTTTTTTTGTTTTATGTGTGTCTCTTTGTATGCATTCACTATGTTCTGTAAAATGCCTCACATAGGTCTTTGAAATATTTTTCTAAAATGGGTCTCTAAAATGCCTCAAAATTTTTATTTGGGTTTTCGTTGGGTGTCTAATTTTTTATGTGATTTGTTTCTCATTTGGGTTTGATTGTATTTCTCATTTATATAATGTGATTTGTTTCTCATTTATATTGCTTCAATTAAAATATGTCTCTTCACTCCTCTATATTTTGTGTCTTCATGCATACACCATGTTCGGTAAAATAGCTCAATTAAAATAGTTTATATAATTCTAAACTTATGAACACCATGCTAGCTGCTTATATTAAAATAGTTTATATAGTTTATTAAAATAATTTATACACCATGCAATCTGTTTATAATCTTATGAGTTGGATGTTATTTTTAATAGAGGTATGTTTTTATAGGTTTAGCAAAAATAGAGGTATATTCAAATTGGTGACACAAATAGTGGGAGTTGGATGTTATTTTTAATAATAAACAGTAGGCAAATTTTGAATTGGAGCTTGCTTACTTATATTTTCTAATCTTTGGAATAACATAGGCTTGAGATTGAAACTTTCTAATCTTATATTTACTTATTAAGATCATTTGAAGCTTTCATTTGCCTGATATTAAAAATTTAAAACTTCCATGGCCTCTTTCTCTCTCTGATGCTTTTAATTTTATTTTTCAAGTTGTGGGCCCCCAAAGTCCATCAAGGACCAAGGTTGGGAGCTGCAAGTTTTCTCTATTCCAATTACTCCTTTCCATTAAGTCTTTCCTTTATTCCAATTCTTAGTATTGTTAAATTAAGTTCCATTTGGATACTCTCTTTCTCTCTCTCATACTTTTGTGTTTTTGTGGGTATGCTATGCTTTCTTTCATGTCTTGGGTTCTGTTAATTGATTTGGTAAGCAATTTCATCAATATTTTAGCAATGCCTTCATCAATTGATGAGCGGTTCTCTTTTTCCCTTAAAATGAGCTGTTTCTTCACTACATAGCCGTGCTGTGTCAATCTCTTAAGCAATTTCGGTGTTCAAACAGTTCACAATATCAATATCAATATTGTAGCCTAATTTTTCCTTTTTTTTTTAATCCAAATTTTGTTTTTTGTTGTGACAGTGCGTTGGCTACTTCCCATGAGCAAACCAAATGGATCCAAAAGGGTTGGTTCATATTTTGCTTATGGGAGGATTTGAATAGTTGGAGCTATTTGAATATATATTTTTTTTGTTTTTGTTTTTTGCAGCTGCTATCCATAGCATTTCAATGCACCATGTTGACCCATTAAAGGTATCACAATTCTTTAATAGGATGCTTGGCTTCCATTGGGAACAAAATTATTCCATCAGTTTTTAGTTTACGAATTTTTTTAAATTTAATATTGTCATTTCTAAGTTATTGAAAATGATTTATAATAAAAACATATATACTCATTTCTTATTGCAGAACATTTGTTGTGTCATATGGTTGCTTGGTCTAATTATTAGTTCCCTATTATTTGTCATGTGTCATTTTAGCTACCATTTAGCAGGTTTGTTTATGTAGTGTTGATTAAATTTTTTTTCTTCAATTTCTTTATGGATAACTGAAAGAGGAGTGTAGAGAAGTTGGGCATAATTGTTTGTGTTTCTTTATAGTTTTGACTTCATTTATATGAATATGACATGTGTTGAAATCTCTGTTATTAGAATCATACAATTTGCGATTTGATTCAGTGAGTAATCAATACGAACAGGTTGTATGAATCGCAAATAGCCATGAATCGTAGGTGAATCGGTGAACCAAATCGGTAAATCGTGAAGTGAATCAATTCGATTCGCTAAACTCTATGTTTGACTTTCTTTTTTAGTTTTTTATTGTTGGAAAAGGGTTAACACAACCCTTTTAAGGTCTTTAAGATTACTATATGCCATCTTTTGACTTTCTCCCTCCCTCTTTTGTTAGTTTTTCATATCTCTTTATCCCCTTAACATTATATCCATAAGTCAGTGGAGCTTTGTTAGTTTTATTTATAGATTTATTTATTTTTGATGTTGTTGTTGTTGATGAAATATATATAAAATTAAGATGAATCTTCCTTTCGAATTCTGCAAACCCTCTAGCTCCTTCATCTGTGTTGGGCACACCCATCTTTTATTATTGTAGTTTTCTGTCTTTTTTATTTTTTTTATTTTTTTATTTTATCAGGGAATTAGTTTTAGCATGAAAGATCTTTTCTCCTAACATCAATGCACAATTTTTTGTTGAGTTGGAGTGTTGTAGAGAAATTATCAATTCATGTAAGGTTGATGTTTTTATTCTTAATGCTTTGTACATGTGACGGAGGCATCAGAATCTGGTGAGGAGAATAGTTCTAAAGGCTCCATCAATAGAGGTAATCAAGATTCCATCCATTTTTTTGCTTCTATTTTTTATTTTTTGTACATTCATGATGTTGTAAGTTGATGATTTAATCTTTTACTCGATTTCCATAGTTCAAAGACCAACTTCCTCATGTCACTTGGAATTAATTACAACCTATTTCCAGTTATTTTAATTAAATTTATTGTTATTCATTCCATTCTAAGGATTTCAGTATAGTTTGCAATAATTGAAGTTCAAAATAATTAGTTTTACCACTATATAATTTCTGCTACTACAATGTTCACCAAATGCTTGATAAACTGTTTCTCTATTTGATGTGTTTATTGATTCACAGGGAATGGAAGGTGAGGGAGAGATTAATCGAATGATCAAATTTTTGGTTGAGGAAAAAGTTCCCCTTTGCTAAACTTTTGAACTGGGGTGAGGAAAAAGTTTTTCTTTGCTTAACTGGGTTGAGTTTATGAATTTATTTATTTTTTGGATAATGTTCTCTTTGCTAATTATTTTTATTATTATTTATTGTTTTTGGGAAAGACAAAAAAAAAATAGCAGTTTTTTTATTTTTTGTTTGTACTACTTCTAAATAGGTTGAATGCTCTCAATTGGATCTCAGTTGTGAGTTTATGAAATCTTTATTTTGAGATTGTGGTTTGAAGATTTTTGAAATAATGCTACTTGCATTGTGGTGCCAAAGATATTCATGATGGTTATCAAAGAAAGAGCATTTTTCTTGGTCAGTAAATCTCTCTCTTTTTCCCTCTATATGGATGTGTCTCTGAAACATTTTTTTTTTGATATATAATAGTTTCTCGTGTGAACCCCACATGTGTTTGGGTGCATAAAATACTATATAGATTAAAAAATAGAGAGGGTGTATGGGTGTGGGATGAGGGAGAGTAGAGATAGAGGGAGGCAAAAAGTGCAGATAAATGAATAAAATGGTGTGAGACAAATTGCATCTTGAAAAGTTATCTACCTATGTGCTGAATTCCATGTCTCTAAAAGGTTGACATTCTCAATTTTAGAAATTAAATATATTTGCTGAATCATTAGTGCTTGATGATGGAGGGAGACATTTATAAATATTAGTGCTTGATAATGTGTTTAAGAGCTAAAATCTAATAATGTGTTTGGAACTTTCAATTAGTGCTTGATGATTTTTGCTTTTGCAACTATTATAGATAGTGCTTGATGTTTTCAGATTGGTGTAATCCATAGACATATATGCTTGATTGGAGGATTAGGTGATTGCCCAAAGAGAGGTGGTTTTGTTGATTAAGGTTTAGTTTCTTCTTTTTTTTCTTTTTTTTTTTTTTGTTGATTTTTACTTTCTATTTTTCTTTTCCTTAGTAATTAGCAAGAGAGAAGTGTAATATGAAGAGTCTGAGACTTAAGCTTAGTAAAGTGAAATGAGTGTTGTAACTAACTAATACTACTGAGACTTGAGTGTAATATGTTCATGAGTTTGCTAATCATACATTTTATTTAACTAATTGATACATTTTCTTGCTACATTTTGGGCTTTGATATACTTTAATTTTGCACAATGGGGGTGAGAAGCAATGTACGATTTTCCTTTCCATGCCTTTTCTTTTTAAATATTACCTATCAATAGTTGACATGAGAGATGGTTTGCTAATATTGCAATTACTGAAATTATATTCTTTTTACATTTTAGCCGAAGTTCAAATGAAACCAACTCTCCTCAATTAGAACATGAAAGATTGATAGCTTAGGTAAGTATAACAGTGATGGTATAAGAAAGGAACAATTTTTCTCTGAAATTATTTTGTGAATAAATTTTTCACGTACTACATAAAAGATTGGATAGAAGAAGATTAATCTAACGTTATTTTCACCGTGCCTTCAGGCACGGACATACACTAGTATATTAATATTAGAGGGTCATTGTCTTTATATTTAATAATAAAAAAATTGATAAAAATTGCATTTTTTATAACATTTTCATACATAATATTTTTTTATCTGAAAAAGTATAGGAATAGTTAATTAAAATGGCCATGTAGGGGATGGATCAAGGGAGTCGCTAGGAGTGATTGGTACCTCAAAGTTTAAAGAATTTTGTTATTGTAGTGATATAAGCTATGAATATTTTCAAATAATATAGTTTGCCTCATAATTTTTTGAGAAAAATTAATACTTGCCTTCTTCCCTAAATTCTTCTACTTTTGGTTTGCTTTTCAATTATTCTTTGTTTTGGTTTTCTTTCACAGATAAGAATGTTCCATGAATTATTTTTTTGCGCTTTTTTTTTTTTTAATATACCAATGATTTGGAACAGTTGATATTTGTAATATATTAAGTGATGAATAAGGGCAGTTTCCCATTTTTTATCATTAAAAAAAGAAAAAGGACAAGAAAAGAAACTAACAACTATAGTTAATTGATTTTGTAAGAAAAAAAAAAAAAAGTTCATAATTAGCTATTGGTGACTTCTAAAGTTATAAATTTCAGTGTTTTCTTGGGAGTGATAACAAGATGATCTGCTGCATGTTTTCTAACATTTTACCTGTAAAGATATAAAATGGAATCCACAATTTCCAATATGGTCTGTCATTCTTTGGACCTTCTAAAATCAGAAACCTAGACTTTACTTTTTATTTTTTATAGGATTTTTCACTATTCCTTGAGTCTAATAGTACACCTAGTATTGAAAATATAAATAATAAAATTATTTTTATTTAATAATTTAAATTTTTAGATGAGACGATGGTTCAATCCAATATTGTATTAGGACAGATCATAAATTTCAATTTCATTGCTTATCTAATAATTAAAAATGTTTGTATATGTTTGGCCAGTTTATGAGAGGGAGTTTGACCACATGTGAAAAAGCGTGTTGAGAAAAGAATAATTCTTAAGTATGCAAGTGCATACCATATATATTTGTGCAAATTAATTCTTACAAATATATGTAAATTATTTCACAAAGTCACGTAAGCTCTCAAAAATAATTTTTCAAATTTTTATGAATTAATTTATGTATATTTGTAAAAATTTACGTGATTTTGTAATATATTTATGAGAATTTATGTAAGTACATATGGTATATACTTTATACAATAAAAAATTTTCCTTGATTAAATTACTCTTCTCTTTAACAACTTAAACTTTTAAATTATGAAATGGTGGTTAATAAAAGACAGGAGATTTGGACATAGAATCTCTTGGCTTTGTTAGTACCTCTTATCTTTTTTTTTTTATTTGGATGCATTGGAGGGGGAGGGGAGAGAGATTGGAGTAATTTTTTGTTCTTTTTTTTTTATTTTTTGTTTTTGACAAAGATAAAAGTTAATATGTTTTGTAGTTTTTTATTGAGAAAATTACTTATTAGTGGGTCAGTCAGAAAATTATTACAAAATAATAAAAAAAAATTGTCTTTTTAATTATTAATGTGTATAAAGTTTACCATTTTTTTAAAAAAATATTACACTGAATTGAAATTCCCCCTTTCTTATTTACAAGGGGTTGGAAAGTTGGTTTTGGAGGAGATGGGAATACTTCTTATCGTGAATCTAGCTATCCCTCACCAATTGAAAGTATGAGGTTAGGGAGAGGAATAACAAATAAAGGAGATTTGAGAGTACAACTCCAATTGATCAACAACACAATGATTAGGATGCCACATGGACTAGAGATTGATCTTGGAATATTGAAATTGAAAGAGAGACCTTAACAAATTGAAGAATAGGTCTCCAAAAAGGGACAATAAAGCTATGGGTCCACAATTCATACACAATAATTTAATCAGAAAAATAATACGACACAAATTCAATTATTAGAATAGATCTCCAAAAAGAGACAATAAAGCTATGGGTCTACAATTCATACACAATAATTTATTCAGAAAAATAATACGATCCAAATTCAATTATTGTACGATGAGTTTTACATTTAAAATAAATGTGAATCATATTTTTTTAATTATTTTTTTGTGTGCGAATTCTAAATCAATAAAATGTTTAAGGGCAAATTAAATTGGTAATCCCTATATTTTGACCCTTGTGTTATTTTAGTTCCTATAATTTCAATTGGATAGATTTTGACCATAAATTTATAATTTTATTTTAATTTGATCCAATTAATTATAATTTATAATGTGTTTTGAAAGAAACTGAATACATAAGCAGCATGTGTCATGTTTTTATAATAAAAATACAAATTTATTCAACTTAGTGAGTTAAATTTAATTAATTCAGTAATCATTTTTCTTCAAAAATCTTAATCAACGTTATTAATTAAATTAAATTGACACAAAATTTAAAACCTAAGATTAAAGCTGAACTAATTAAAATATCAAAGACCAAAACAATATAATAGACAAAATATAGAAACTATTGAGGTAATTTGGCCAAGTCTTTAGGAGGGAAAGGGTTGTTTGCGTGGGTGAATAAAGTTGGTCATTGCACCAAGACACTGTCCAAGTCTTCACCACCACCCCCACTGAGAAAAACTCCAAGGCATCACGTGAAGGCATTGGTCACAATCTTCGCCTAAAAAAGGGCTTTTGTCTACCCATCCAAAGCACAAAAAAAGAAGATGAAAGAAATAAAGAAAAGAAAGAGGGTCTGTCACCTTTCTCTATCCTTTTTATTACTGTAAAAGAAGGCCACTTTCTAACAATTCAGTAGTAATTCTTGACTTCACTTTACATATCATCGATGTAAGATAAAAGGCAAAAATTATTCAGTAGCCACTTTGTGGCATTACCATAATGGTTGTGGTGGCTAAAAAAATCCCAACTAAGATCTAACCCGTAAGAGACAGACTAAGGTAAAAGGCCAAGACCCTAGATTGAGAAGGGTGTACCAACTGAACTCTTCAGGATGAAAAAAATAAAATTCTCGAATCATAGAATATCGATGATAAAATAAAACAAGAGGTCGATAGTAACAAGGCATGTTGGCAGTTAGTTCCAATTGACGTTTTGGTGGCGAATGCTGCTGTGCAAAGAATTATCAGAGCTAAAACGACGGTTTAACCATTTTCAAGAAAATATTTTATGGGAAAAGACGATCGAATAATGACATTTAATATTATAAAAGGGGATCAAGGGTGTAAGACAAAGGTATGAAACAATCTCTAAAAAAAAAAAAAAATATATATAAAATAAATAGGGGAACAGTTCATTTCTTTGTTAAAAAAAGGTAATTTACCGATTTGACCTTTGGAGCCCCCTTTTGGCCAGACACCCTTGAATCGGCAGCTCTCACGGTCATATTCTTTTGCAAGGAACTTGAAGTCTCGTACTCAGTCATCATGCTCTCCCACACATGGCCATTCATTCATTTGCCTTTCCCATGAAAGAATGTAAACGAAGCGGAGTTTGTGCCATTGTTTATCAAACTTTTATCACACAACTCAAATTTTAAAGGCACAACAGTGACTGTTATGCCTCATTTTGTGGTATATTATGGATTTATTTTTATAATCTGAACTGTTCATATTATAAGGTTTGTTGAGTACTTCATGCCTATCAAAAATCATATTAATCGGATACCAATAACTATATGATTGATAACCAAAAAAATAAACAAGAAGTTTTTCTTTTGAAAAATAGTATAAAAATATGCAATTCGATCATATAGTTATTGATATCCGATTAATATGATTTTTGGTAGGTTTGAAGTACTCAACAAATCCTACAAAATAAACGGTTCAGATCATAAAAATAAACCCATAATACATTTCAAAATGAGGCACAACACCCAAGTCCCAAATTGGCCAACTATGCACCCAATACCCAGCTTCCCAAAAATGATATGATTATTAATTGATTAGTATTGATTGCCATATTATTGGGGAAGTTTGGGAGAGAAAATTGGGAGAACGAAACATTTTTTTTTTTTGTATATAAAATAGCCCTCCTTATGAAAAATAAACAATATTAAACTAGCTAATGATCTTAATATAAACGAAAATTATTTAGCAAACTCCAAAACACCAATTGATGATATTAACAATTTCTCAAACAAAAACCAAACTTTCAATTGCAATATTAACTCATTAAGTACATCTCTACACAAATAGTAGTTAGAATTTATTTATAATATTATCACATCAGTATTACTAGCAATAATCAATAATGACTCACATTGGTAGTGTTTTGGCTGCTGCATTGGTAGTGTTTTGGCTGTTTTGGCTATTGCTGGTAGTGCTGGTCTGGTTTAATTGCCGCTGCTGGTCTAGTAGTGTTTTGGCTGCTGCATTGGTTGATTTGTTAGAGCTTTTGTTGGTTGTTTGTTGCTTTTGTTTTTCCTTGTTTCTTTTTTTGGGTTGCTTCTGATTGATTTCTCACTAATCTTGAGCTAGTACTAACATATGATTGTATTTCTTTTACAGTACCAACCTAGTTGAGATCGTTAAGGTTAGTTATGATGCTTATTGCACTCCCCCACTTTGTTGATGTAATGTATGCATGTTTTGCGCTTTATATCAATAAAGTTTTTTACTGATCAAAAAAAATAATAATAATCAA